AGGCCTTGAGACTAGGGACTAGGCAATGCAGTATAACCGCGGACCCGTTTGATCTGACGATAAAGAATAACGCTACAAAAGAAATTGTCATGTTATGAGTCTGTACCTGTAGTTCTTGAAGTTGACTCCAGAAAGTTTCAGTATAAAGTCCGAATTGAAAATAGAAGAGAAAAATGACATGCGGGTAAGTGGTGATAGCTTTTCTGGCGCCACTTGTTTAAAAGGTAGATAATGCTATCCACCAATTGAATCTCTATCCAATGGATAACGCAGTTGCTTTCTCTGATACTTGTCCTCTGTATAGCGCAATGCTACTTGTAGTAACAGACAAACGCTAAACTAACTTACAATCAAACCAAATAGAGATTTTAAACAAACGTTATTATTATTATTATACGTCTCTGGAAAACTGCCCACCAACCCATCCCCTAAGCCAACATTTTGCCGTAAGTGAGAATTAAGTGTTAATGTTAACTTAGGGGAGAGGTAGTTGGGCAGTTTCACAGAAACGTATACTACAGCCATCATTCGGACGGGCGCAAACACCAAATGACTTAATACAAAAGATTGAAAAGACAATGAAAAAAACCCACGCCATAACACAAAGAGAGCCGAAAATGGTTTCCACAACACCAAGAAGCTGCCAATCCCCACCCCCCTCCCCCCGCCCCTCCCTCAAAGAATTTTTCGTAGCTATCCCGGATGTAACATACGTTCTAAGAGAAATTTAAGACGTTACTGTACCTGTGGCTCCATGTTGTATGTGAAGTCTGATACAGCTGAAGTAGCTGATCCTATATCGACTGGCTGTACTAGCATCAGGATCAGGATAATTTGACTGTGAATCAATAAAAAAATATCGTGAATATAGCTGCCGTAAGGCGACTTCTTTTGCCGATCAGTGCTACCAATAGACGCACAACTTTATTCCGGTTTGAGTCCTCGAGGGTTACAGCAATAACTAAGATGGTAGACTATTGACCCCAAAGACTCGACTGACATTAGGTCCAATGTACGGTAATAAGTCGTATTTGATGTGTTGTGTTGTGTTGTGTTGTGGTTTAAACTGAAATACAAGGTGAATATAAAACTTCAAGAAAATACTGCGAGCGCAAAAGAAATATTGCAACGCACTTACATTCTTTTGGCGCAAAACTTCTGACCGCAAAAGAGACACTCCTGACAGGAAACTACTGCTTAGTGCTCTTGAAGAAGCAACGTTGAAATAAAAGCTGAACTGAAAATGCTAGAAGGCGATTTAAGTTAAAAACAGAAAATGCAAATAAGGATTAGACGCACGTGGGATTCCTAGGGGAGTTATTTTACAGCTAAATTGTTCTTTAGGGCGTTAGATACAATAGTGAATATGTCTGTTTTTAACAGTCCTTTAATCTGAGAAAACAGCTGACACCTGACAGCGTCATCACTGGTTTCCCCGCGAGATGACTTCTGACGAACAACTGAAAAACTTACATACTGATGACGTGTCACTACCCAGATCTGGGTAGTGTTTCTAATTGGCCGCAACAAATTTCCCTCTCGATACGACCAATCGGAAGAAATAACCAGCTCTGGGTAGTTACACGTCATCAGTATGGAATTTCTGCGCTCGTTCCTCAGACGTCATTTCGCGGGAAAACCAGTGGTAGCTTTGCCAAATGTCAGCTGTTTTCTCAGGCTAACAGTCTTTCGGTGGCGAGACTGTACTGTTATTAAACTGCTGTTCACTGGAAAATCAATGCCCAAAGAAATAAAGTCGTACTCACCTTTAGTTCATCGAACAACTCTGGTAATTTAAAAAAAAAGGACCAGATGAGGGATTTTGGCCTAGTAAATAACAGGACCATTTTCGCAGACGGGCCATGTAAAGTGCCGAATTGTCCCTGTCAGTACCGTGCCAAAAAGATCTCAACGCATAAATTATGACAAATTATGAAATTCCTGAATCGACGCGATCACAACTTAATGACCAACTGAATTACACCCTGTTTACATGGAGTGGGGGACCCCGGTCTAGTGGGGTTGGTTTCTTTTGTTTTCACGCTCTGGGGGACACAAAACAAAAGAAACTCACCCCACTAGACCGGGGTCCCCCACTCCATGTAGACAGGGTCTTAGTCTCTCTGGGGTTTAAAGCTTTTTAAAGGGTCTTTAAATCCTCGACAATTACGGTGTATACGACAACTCTTTTAAGCCAACTGATGAAGTCTTATTTATTCATTTAGTTGTTCTAGTAGAATAAAGTTCCCGTTTAACATTCCGAAATACCAGTGTTAAGTTTATTTGGTCATAGGACATTTGAAATAACACGTTCTCGTGTGCTTGGAGTGTGGAAGTTTAAACCACGCTAAATGTTAGGAACTTTAAAAACATCTGTCACACACTCCTCGTTACGTCGCTGCTCTGAATATTTAAACAAGCGAAGCAAAATAAGTACTGACCGCAGGTTAAGTGAAACGTTAATGCGAATATATTTGAAACTTACTGATATGTTTTAAAAATACGAGAAATCTTGTTTACGAATGACAGACAAAAGACAAAAGGCCACAAAAGTTAAACGCAATGAATCTCTGACAAAGCAGTCAATATTTGTGAAATATTGTCTTCTCTAGAAAAAGCACTTGAGTTTTAATGGAGCTCGTTCGCAGATGAACACAACACTCAACCTTAAATCGACCAGGAGAAACGTAAAATTGAACAAATTTGCGTTTGGAACTCCATGACTACGGGATTTATTAAGTAAACATTGATTTACTTCATCAGTATGGAATTTCTGTCGCTGAGTTGCAGACGTTCCTCGGCGCGAAACGTCGCCCAGCGGTGAAGAGCGAGGAGAAACGGCCGTTTTCGTGGCAATCTCTGTTACATAGGAACCATATACTCATGCCTATGACCAGCTTTTATTTGCAAAGGCGAAAATCTTTTACTCACTTTGGAAAAACCAATCACATCACAGTAGTACACATAACACAATCTACCCATTAAAAACTGCACACATGAAAGTTTTTCAATTGGGAAATCAGGTAGCAATCAGTCCGCTTACGATATATCAGTCCAACCCTTTGACGTTTTCATTAGTTGCACAACCTTTGGTGCGATCGCTATAAAAAGGATTACCTAGATAACGAAATTCAGAGACAGAAAAGGGAAATTCAAAAGTGCATCAAAGTAGAAAAGTGTAAGATTTGAGGACGTAAATGGAATTCTAGAGAATGAGTAAGGAAGAGCCTAAGACGACAGGTAAGTGGAACTTTTGTTACATTTTTGATAGAAAACGGAAATTCTAAAATGTACTTTCTTTTAATGAGAATGGTACGTCTTTTTACAATTAAACGAAATGGTATTAAATACTGAACTAATAGTTATAACAGGCCTATAGTTATTTTTCAAACCTTAAATAGGATAAAATATTTGTCGCAATTCACGTGGGTGCCAAATAGAGTGAGTTTTAGAAATGTACAAATCTTTTATTGCATGTGTCCTGGAGAAAAACATACGGTTATTTAACAGTTATCTCCACCTTAACGGATCGGGCAACAAACCAAACCGAACCGTAATATTCGTAGTGAAATTAAAACTTATGTACGTCCTTTTAAAAATTTTTGCTGTGTGCTGAATAGCTTAAAATATTGAGAACAATCAAACTTGACTATTTTTACTCTCAAAGCCTAAAAAGTGTACGACGTATGTCAGCTATCTGCAGCGTGCCCTATAGAGTACAAGATAAGAAATTATCAGAGTAGACGATATCCCCTCGGTACCATGTTTGTAACATTTCAGCTGCGTGCCGAATAGAGTACGAGATAGGTAATAATCAAAGTTAACTTTTTCTACTCGATCAACCTAAAGAATGTAGTGTTTGTAACATTTCTGCTGCGTGTTGAATAGAGTACGAGATAGGTAATTATCAAAGTTGGCTTTTCTACTCGATCAACCTAAAGAATGTACCATTCGGCACTTTACACGTTCCCTGGAGTCGCATATTCGCTAAAGGGACGTCTGAATCAACGAGCTTCGCCGCTATTGCCGTCCAGTAAGATCAGACTATTGTTACTTTGTGTGAGTCACGATCAGGTGGGTCGGAAACTTAAACTGTCAAAAATTCTCTTGAAAAAAAGAAAGAAAAAAAGGAAGAATTGCTGGAGCATACGCCCAAAATCATCACGATGGTTCTCGAACTGTCACGACGACAGCACCGGCCTCTCTGATGGCGCATTACCTATCACTTGGATTCGAAAAGGTGAAAAACCATTTCTCCTTAATATCAAGTAAATGAACTGAAGATTTTTTTTTCCTTTTTGTAACCATCAGCTGGGCAAAGTATTATTCCACTATGTTTACCTTTTTTCTCTTTATTCAATTCAGTCTTATTTATTCTGATTTGCAGAATTTGCAGAGAAATTAATAGACACAACTGCCTCACGACTTGCTAGACATTTTCTAAGAAACAAGGAAAAGATGGCATGAAGTTTTGTTCTGTCGGGATACCGAATTTGGAAATTGAAAGTGAACAAACTTATGTCCGACGCTTTGCTAAAAGACACTCAACATGCCTGGGTAGATCAATGAATGATTGCTGCTGAAATCCGACAGACATAGATAACGAAGATGGAGTGATACTGAAAGGGAAGTCAAATATAAGGGTATGCTTACTAAGTTGTGTCACGCCATCCGAGAAAGGTCAAAAATCGGCTTGAATCGAATCATTAATCGGAGGCAAATCTTAAAAAGGCAGTGCACAAATTGTACTTTATATTGCTGTTTTTTTGCTTAAGGTAACCCATGGATGACAAAAAAAATATCTTGTTCTTCTTCGTGGCAACTTGTCTTTTGGGACAACGAATGGTATCACGTAAGTTTACAGCAAAAATATATCGATGCTTTGCATGTTTACGTCCTGAAGCATAGACACCATGCAAGTCAAACAGCGAAGTATCTATTTTCATCCAATTTGCAATAAATATCTTTTATAAAGCCATAAACCTCGCATTTTCCCCGTGGACCCCTCTCTATACCGACTTCTTTCCGAATCGTGATCAGTTTCGTGAAGTATTGCTCTTCAGTTCAAACGCATTTTTCAGTGACGCTTGGTCGCATCACAATGGCGGAATAATAACTTTCACTTTCCAAGCACTGCGGAAATGAGACCGCAGGCAATGATGTAACTTGATTTACACTTAAAAATCAAAGAAAGGCATATCTTGGAAGGAATTCTTTAGAGGGACCACTAAGAAATGTGACCTGAAAGCAAAAACAGCCACCAGTATTAAAAGGATGGTACACGGAAATAGTTTACGGTTAACTGAACACAAGTTTTTAAATGAATTCCATTTCCCTTTAAAAGGATAACGATAAGCGTGGAACAGTCGGGCAAAGCAAAACTCTAACGGTTAAGAAATTTTGCAACGGAAAGCCGATCGAGAACGTTAAATGGCTGAACAAGATCCAAAAACACCCCTCTCAAAAGATGTGCTAGACTTTAAAAAAGTAGGTTGTTATACGTGGGTGCAATAACTGTATGTTTACAGTAAAGCCAGAAGGTCAAGCGTACCCCCCAAGAATTCATTAATGAATTTATTATTCGAAAGTTGAATCTGTTGCTAGTTGTAGATTTCAGATTGATCTCCGCATTATTGCATGTGTAATAAGCCGTGAATTCACAGGCAGCTCAGTTTTCCTGAATTTGATGTAAATGTCTTCTAAGAAACTTAATCCATTCAAAGATTTTCAATCTGACCAAATACAGAGAAGTTCTCGTAAATTATTCACTGCTCATTACGCATACAGGAATGCCCCTTTGAATTTGACACCGGTTACGGGAACGACTAACGCTGCATTCATTTTTTAAATAATCAATTCATTAATAGAATCTTGGGGGGTTTGACCTGCCTTGACTGTAACATTCGTTTGAACGAGATGCTTAAATTGGTCTAGCTGATACATGCATTCTAGGCAACCAGTAATTTCAATGTTTTATCCTTCTTTGTTTAGCATCATGTGAACAAGTTGATGTAGGAGTGAGCTGGTACATTCATGACAATCAGTTAACTGCTTCTTCTGAACTGAATGCCAGAACACCAGCAAAGAACGGCCGACTGAACTTTGTAGCGGGATCATCATGGTGCGCATCCACAAGTGACAGCAGTCCATATCTACAGATTGACTTACAGATTCCTTATATCATCTGTGCTGTATCCACTCAGGGGAATTCCCAGGGGAGTCAGTGGGTGGAGTCTTACACCCTACAGTCATCTGCAATTGGGACAACTTGGACAGACTATAAAGAAAATGGAAACGTTAAGGTAGTTGAGGTTAAAGGGTGTATATATTAATGGCCCGACCTGTCACTGTCTTTTTTGCAGAAAAACACGATCTCTTCCTACCACCCTACTTAGGATAAGACTGGTCTGACTGCAAACACAGTTCTGATTGATAGAAAGCTAAAACCAATTTTGTGCTGCATGAAGCACCTATGAGTAACTTGCTTCTCCCCCGTGAATGGAATGCTAGTCTGTTCAAAGGTTACCTTCATCGCACTTATGTATTGAGGTGGAAGAATGACAAGCGTGTAAAGGAGCAAAGGTTGTTATCTAAGGGAGAAATGCCATGCAGGGTGAAGCTAATTGAATCCAGAAGCGGGGAGTGGGGAGTGTGAGGTTGATACCCCACTGGGTTCACAGAAAAGTCACTAAGAGCCAGGGACCAGGAATTTCCTAGCTATGTCCTACTAAATACCAGTATGACCCCTGGCTACTTTCATAGGAAACAAAACGAAAGGAGACTGAACAAATAGAATTTCCTTGCTGTTCAAATCCTTACCTATAATTTGCATATATCTTGCAACTTGAAATCTTAGTGACAGCCCTGGGTTTAATACATTGAACTTTATCTTTACCACTTTAAGAATTACCATCTAAATGATAAGCCTTTTTTTGTTTTTGATTTTTTTTTTCCAGACCTTCAATGGAAACTTCGATCAGAACACAGTAGAAAAACAGATCTTGTTCAGTGCATTTGTTGCCAGATACTTGCGTTTTGTTGTTGGGTCCAAACATGGTGGAGCATGTTTACGAGTAGAAGTTTCTGGCGTACCTAGAAGCAGAGGTTTGATATATTGCAGAAATTGTTTAGTTCGTAAGGAATATAGCTTTTTACCCAGTTGTGGAACCTTCCTTCTCATCATTGAAAAGATCTTTTTTCTTTTTGCGACAACATCAGCTCTTTCTTTCTTTTGAAAAATCTTGTTAAAATACAGTCTTTGCAAGTAATTCACTGTACGCCGTCCTTACTCTTTGCCACTAAAGACATTTCACAGGAAAGGGGTCTGCAATTTCACCCGAAAGATTCCATATTGCTGATCATATGTAGATTTGCTTGAAATCTAGTCAACAAACAGGGATTGGTCAAAGTTGTCAATTTTTTCTTTTAGTTATTGTTTACGAATGACAGAAAAAAGACAAAAGGTCACAAAGATGTACAGTAAATGCCATGAATCAACTAAAAAAGTTATTATTCATGGAATATAACCTTCTTTACAAGAAGAATTTGAGTTTTGCTGCTGCTGGCTTGCAGAAGAACTCAAAACTTTTCAATAATAGACCAGGAGAGACTTTAACTCAAACAATTTTATATCTAGAACCCCATGACTACCAGATTAATTTTGTAAACATTTGATTCATGTCATAAATGTGGAATTTTGGGGGCCATGATTTTGCAGATGTCTTTCCTGTATAAGGTCTTTAGTGGCGAGAAATTACGAGAGATGGCTAGTGTATTTGCAGGCTAGTTTTTGACCAACCTGTCAAAACTAAGAGGTTAAGATTTTGAACAGTTACCGATCAATACTTGCCAAGACCATGCATTTTTTCATGCTGCACGGCAGACATGTACTTTGAACATTAACAAGTTGATTCTGAAAGGCCTTCAATGCTTGATTTTCCTCTGTTTCTGAAAGGCCTTCAATACTTGATTTTCCTCTGTTTAAGGCTGTGCTGTATAGTAAGAAAAATTCTAAGGTTCCCAATGCTCTGTTGCTGTGAATCCCAGGGTACCCAGCATATGATTTCCATGCAAAAGCTGAAATTCTCTAGTCGCCCAAAACCAGAATTAAGGACCCTGAAGTGGTCTCCAGGAGCTGGGGCCGAGAGCACAGCCTGCAACCTGCTGCGTTTATCTGTAATTTTTGTTATTTTACTTTTAGTTCACAGCAATATTGCCCTTTTCAAGCCAGCAAGTGAGTCAAGTACATGGAGTGGTTCGAACCCTGCTAGTAATGCAGTGGATGGAAATAGGAATCCATACATCAGCAAGTGTACACACACTAAGTTAGACAACAATCCTTGGTGGCGAGTAGACCTAGGGCGAGTAGAGCCTGTAGCTGAAGTGAATATAGTCAACAGAGTCAGATTGGCAATAAGATTAGATGGAGCTGAGATAAGAGTGGGTAGGTAGTAATTTTGGGAGATGCTGTAATTAGTTGTTTTGCCTTGTTCAAAAGTGTTCCTTGTTCATTTTGAAATAGTTTAATTAATCTGAGATTATTTTCCATTTCTCAGAAGAAAATTATGTGATCACTGTGTTTTGTAAAAGTGTGCTTGTATTTAGTATCAATAGCATTCATTCGTAAAGGCTTTGATTGCCTCCTTCCAAACCGGATTTAATCTTTTCCGCTAGGCTGATAATTTACACGTGATTCCAAAATAGTTATAGTCTTACCCGAAACCGCGTTTTAGTTAGTTGGCCTTTGTCTTGCTACTGCACTCATCACGATACTGAAAGTTCTGGAGGATCGGTAAAGCGGGACTGTTATGTAAGTTTTACTGTCTATCCATTCAGCCTTTGTAGCATAATAATTAGATTCTGGATTATCGTGCGTCGTAGTTTTGATTTTGCTCACTATTTAGCTGTGGAATGATTGGAATGCTACTGTACCCATATTTCAGCACGCTCATTGGCTGAGTGCACGTCAATTTATCCCAAACAGTGCAGAAAGTTGAATTTTTGTTGTCGTTGTTGTTGTTTTAATTTTTAACTTTGCGGCCACGGTTTTAGCTAAAACCGTGGCCCCAAAGTTTTCTCACGCCTTGCGTAAAAAATTTCACAGCTGCGCCTGTTCCTTTTCGTAAATCCGGCCAAAGCTTCAATGTTTGCGACCATCATTATTTTTAGTCATATTATGGCTTAAATACAGGCGTTTAGTATTCGATTGTAAAACTCCCTGAAGAAGTCTACGTTAGTTAGACGAAACGCGTAGGAGAATAAACAAGTTTTACAGCAACAGTTCGCAGAGTGCTGCTCACTAGTTTGGTTTTAAAAAGTTTTAAAAATTGCAAAAAATTAAATTAAATTGATTGTCAGCCTCAGGTGAGTTAAGGGTCTGTCAGTAGAATAATTGACAACTTCTTTATGTAATCTTTTCGGTAAGGATGAAGAATGTGCAAACAGACGTAAATCACAAGTGATGTAACCATGAAGCCATTCTGATTTCAGCAGATTCTTTCACGTGGCATTTTGATCCAGAAACCAAGAAAGACACCACCAAAAAACAAAAGCCAAATAACAAATTGCAAAATTCTTGACTGACAATCAAACGTGAAAAATGTCTTGAAACAAAAACACTAAGTTTTCTTTACAACTCCTTTTTTATTTACAGTCACTGTTAAAAAAGCTTGTGTATTTTCAACACGAGGCCATACATCGTCTCAAATTTATCTACCAAATCACCGTACGAAACTTAAAATAATTATGCACGCCGTTAAACGAGACAAAAATATGTAATAACTCAAACTCACCTGAGATGCAACTCCTGAAAGCTAGTAAGCGAGGTTCGTATAGAAACGCTTTAGTTTTCTCTGTTATTCTGCTGTGAAAGCCTGCATGAAAGTTCTTACAAAAACAGCCATCGATGAAACCACAGTTGCGACGCTTTCCTCGACCAAAACCCAAATAAACAAACCACAACATTGGCGGATCCAGGGGGGATCGTTGAGCTGGGGAAGTATTTAGACTTGTCTGGTTACACATGTCTATCCCTTTTTCATACCAAAAATAATATTATAAGTTATAATTTAAGTTCCAGTCCAATCGGCCATTACAAGAAGACTGTTGCTATTCCTCTTCTTGAATTGATTCCTCACGTATCTAAATGCAAGATCGATTTTATGACGAAGATCGCCACGCTCACCATCTGCTTTGTCTCGTGCCATCGATTGTGGTAAATAAGGCACTGCAGCTGGATCGGATAAAAGTAAAAGGCGCGCTGTTCTGGGAGAAAGACATTCCATCTCTGAAATCCATTGGAAATGAGGTACGTAGATGAGGGAGCTTCCAAACAACCTTTTATTAACACTTGACGAAGGTGCTTTTCCAAACATCTATCGCCTTCTAGTCGTTACCTGCTCCCCAACGATCACAAGTGGAGAAGCTGAGTTGTCGTTTTCACTGATGAAATGAATCAAGACCTGCTCTAGGTCAACAATGGAGCGATTCTCTGATCTCGCAGTGATCGTCATGCACTACTCCGAAAGATTCGAGGTACAGTAGACGAGATATGCGAAGCCTTTGTAGAGGCTCATCCAAGAACGCTCTGTCTCTGAAAACTGTCCAATTTGACCTGTCCGATTACGGGAGCTTGTAATAGAACAGGTCAAATCGGACAGTTATAGAACCAATGAAAACCAAGTAGCGAATGCCACAAGCCATTGAAGTTTGACCACATAGCACAAGACAACCGATCAAAATCAATGAAAAAATAGTGACCAGGTAAGCTCCAAAATTGAGATTCTCGCATTTTGTTACAGACAGAATTATTCGAAGACAGGACGTCATGTCATAAACCAGTCAATCCTATTCAGTTTTCTGTTTTGTTAGTTCAATAACGACACAGCAGTTCAATAAGTAGACAACAGATCAATAACCACACCAGTGGTTCAATGACTACACATCAGTTCATTGAGCGTAAACTACATGCAGCTGCGGGAAGAATAGCCACAAATACGTTAGTTATTTTTTAATAAGAATGCATAGCATTAAGTAAGTGGTAAATACTCATTTAGCTATGGTACGAGAACTAAATAGATAAATAGCTATGTTACACTGTTATTAAGTACTAGTGAGCTCACTAATATAGACGGGAACATAGACTGATGTTATTTAAAATTTTAGTCCCCTCAGAAGGTCTGTCATTCTCATCAGGGGCACAGTGAACAGACCTGGAAAGAGAGTCAGCGCCGAAAGGGTAAAGCCAAATTGGTCCGGAGAAAACTTCAACTAAATAACCCGACAACGCGCGCGTTAATAAAGCAGAAAAAAATACAGTTAACCGTGGATGAAATCAATCTTGTTTTTTGACTCTCTTTCCGCACGTTTCAAACCGTGGTACCACAGCTGGCCCTACGTGCTTGGGTTGACTACCATCAATCTATGTTTAAAATAGTTATTTTACCGTACAAGTCCTGAACTTTCAACTTTCTTGGTTGTTTCAAACTTGAAAGGCAGCTGCTCGCTTCCTGACCATATTTCAAAAATCTGCTTTCGATATGATAATGCACTGGACGAAAAAACGGATTTACCTCTATAGCAAATTTGGAGCAAATCATCTGCAAATGCCACATTTGCTTAATTTTGCTCAATTTTGCCACATGACATAGGACCAACTTTGCCATAATTTTGCATCAGTGGCAAAGGTGGTAAATGCCGAATTTGCCTCAAATTTGCCCCGTGTGTAAAAACAAGGATAACCTTTACTTTATCAAGGCATTTACAGGGGTGTCAAACTTGATAGCAAAACTGACATTTGTCAGGTTTTTGCCCAAATGGGCAAAAGCGATCGAAGATGAATTTTTGAATGCTTTTGCTCTCTATAGCAAATTCGGTCAAAGTAGTAATTTGCCACATTTTTGCTCAATGTAGCAAAAGTGACCAAAACTCATTTTTCAACAGTTTTGCCCAGGATAGTAAATCTGAGCAAAAATTCACGTTTGCCACTGTTTTGCTCAGGGTAGCAAATTTGGCCAAATACCACTTTTTTCTCAAGTTTGCTCAGGATGGCAGATATGATCAAAACAGTAGTTTCCCATACTTTTCCCCATTGTAGCAAAGTTGATCAAATATCAGTTCTTCTGTATCTTTGCTCAGGATGGCAAATATTGCCATGATAGCAGTCTTCCATACTTAAAGTAAGGTAAACAAAGTTGATTACAATATCACTTTTTTACACTTTCACTCAAGATAGCAAATTTGATCAAAACATCATTATCCAGATGTTTCTTATTTTTTATTTTTTTTGGGTAAATGACTCACAAACAATTAAGACACCAAACAAAATTTCAAGAATAAAATGTCTTTATTATCTTTAATATACACTGTACAATAAAAAGCAAGATAAATTAAAAGAAAGTTCCATTGGCCTCTGCAGGGCACTGCATGTACCACAAAATATATGCCTTTAAATAAAAAGCACATACAATGTGAAACTATCTAAATTCATAAGTGTATAAGAATGTACATTGGGTTTGAAAGTGCAAGTCAACACTAGCTGGTTCATAATTATCTAAGGTTGGTACAGGTAAAACGTAACTCCATTTGAGTGGTATACTTCAAATATACTCTTTCTAGATTCAATTGATACTATTGGCAAATGGTTGTACGATGACAACAAGTACACATCACTCCCAATGTAGATGTGACATCCTTACTAACGGACAGAACATCAACCACAGGAAATAAAATTAGCCTCAAATTATTATGATAAGCGATATTCCTCTAATTATTATTTATAAGAACTTGTTTTCATCTGATAAATATTATCCACTACCCAAAATAGGCAGTGAATAATATCATATAGTGTACCTAGTGCTATTCACTTACCCCAAGGGGAGATACATCTGTATGATTCATTTTTAACCAAATCAGTTATATAAAAATATTTCTTGTAAATAAAATGAGTTACTATGCGAAAGCTCTGTGCATTTCTATGATTTGGGTACGACTTTGATATATTTCTACCCAGCAGTAAACACGTATAAGGTTAATTTTGTCACCTTTTTAGCATGTACATGTATTTTATTTTACAGATGCTTTATTTACTGCTAAACCACTAAAACTAGCATGAAATGACACCCCAATTTTACTCTCATCCTATAGGTAGCCAAAAGCTTTTCAAGTTATGAAAGCAAATCTGCTATCCACTGATTTGGTTAAATACTTGTATTATTATATGACCATAAATAATTTATTACATTTGTTTTTTTTACTAAAATCAAATTATTTGCTAAAAATTTGAGCAATTTTTTTCTGATTCACATGATCAGCTGTTTTGCTTGCAGTATTGGACTGATTAAATATCCAAATTATCCAAACACAATCTATACACTATGAAAGCTCTGTAGAACTTCTTTAATTCATCATCATTATCATTGTTATTGGCATGCAGGTGATTAAAATTTAAGCCATGCTTATCAAAAAACTGTTATCACACACGGTATTTTTTTTTGGCATAAAACATAACTGCACTCTTTTTTCATAAAATATGCCAAGAACAAAATAGGATCATGGCATTTGGAGTCCAGTAATTACTCTACTATGGGGTGTATTGGCTAGATTTAGTCCTCGGAGTGGCACTTTTTAAGGCAGTGCTTAGGGTAGCCCTAGGATTTGTCACCACTGCGGAAAGTGGATGCAGATGTATCTCCAATTACATATGTTGGGTGAATGGACACGATGACTGAAAATACAGCTGCATTTACAGGCTACTATATGGAAGGTTTTTAAAATTCAGTAAAGTTGCCAAGTTACAGGGTGATTCGGTGCAAACTAATAAGGACAGCTCTGCAAAGATGGCAAATTTTGCAGACATTTGTCTGGTAAGGGAAAGTTTGTGGCTCCACCATACCATACAAAGGTCATTGAGATTATGTGACTTTGTGTCAACACTTTATTTCAAATCGGACTAATCACAAACAGCGTAAGAACCTAGCCAATCACAAAATGCTGACATACATGCATGTCTTTGTGATGCAGTGGGATTCAAACATGATATTGTGCACTAATTCTCAGACGGCATGCTCTATACAGAAGGTTTAGAGTGTCTGCAACACAGGCAAGATCTTCATTGGATTGTGGCAAATCACTTTGAGATTTGGTAATTTACCTAGTTTTAACGTGGCTCCTTCCCATGGGTGTCAAAGGATATTCACTTACTAAATTGTAGGTCTTCATCAAAACTCAAAAAATTGTGCAATTGTCTACTGAGTAAATATGGTTCTAGGAACTTAACTGAAAAGGAACTGAATCATGATGCATGTCAACTTCAACTTGAGTGTTATTATTATTTTGTACATTTTTATCTAAAATGTCTTCTTCTTTTCCGAATGTTCTTCGAAAAATTATCTGTGTTATGCTTATGATCAAGTTCCTTTTTCTATTGTAAGTGGTGGGTGCCAGAGCAAACTCAGGAGCATCGTCTGGTGCTCCTTGATTTGATGCTGGTCTCACTGTGTGCTCTATTACCATTATTTTCACTTCATTGACTTTGACACCATGCAACTTTGCGGTCCAACTGGGCCATTAAACCATTAACCTCAATGCTCTGCCAGGAAAGTGGCCTTACACAGAGATTTTCCCTGTTTGGGAGGTCCTCATCTGAACCTGAAGAATTACCTTCACGCCACTCTGAGACAGCTGTTTCAGACAAAGACTCCTCTGATGACATATATGCAAAGGACATACATGCAAGGTACTTGTCCTTGTCTGACTAACTGATGCTAGTTGACTCCCTCAGAGCATATTGGCCTTTTAATTTTTTGTCTGAAAGAAAAATGACGAACCATGATTTAGCAGCCAACAAGTAACCCACAGTTGGTAAACAAGCATGTACTGCTCATACTCAGTTGAAATGATTGGGTTGCAGAACAATGACACAATGCTAAAAGCTGAAAACACTCTCTTAATCAAAGGAACAGTTTGAGGATATTTGTGAGAAAAATTTCTCCCCGCATTTTATTCCTACTAACTTTTTCATTAAATATATAATATGTTTTTTGGAACAGGTGTTAAAGTAGAGAGCAGAAATGCCTCTTTCTGTTGAATCTGCATTTGTTTCATTAAGACTCTTTTAAGTGTAAATAAAGACTGAAATAAATTAATTCCCCTGTCATTCAAGAGCAGAACTGATAGTGTCCCACAGGTCACCAGGCTCTAACAGAGCACAACCATGACTCAACTGTACACATAAACCGTAAAACCGGTCAGAACCTGAGAAACGTAACATTAAGGCAACCCACATGTTGCTTAGAACAATAATTGATTAATTGTGGTTATTTGGCATGATAAAGCCAAAGCATTTACTTGCAAAATGAACTAACAAAGATCCCTCGACATCATTGAGCTGTACAAAAGGTATAAATAATGAGGTATTGTTGTTTAAAATGTGGAACAGTAATACAGTGGTCACTTGGAATGACACTTATGCTTCAGGATCTGGCAAGTGCCGTCATTCGCAAAATGAGCCAAAATTAAGATCTCACAATATCACTGACCCATATTTATAAAGCATAAGAGTTTTGGATGGTACAATTTACGAAAGAAGAATCACTTGTCATTTAAATGTGGAACAATAATGCAGTGGTCACTCAGAATGACACATAGGCTTCAAGATCTGGCATACGCCGTCACTCGCAAAATGAACCAAAATTAAGATCTCACAATATCACTGAACCATATGTGTAAACCATAAGAGTTTTGGATGGTACAATTTATGAAAGAAGAATCACTTGTCATTTAAATGTGGAACAAAATACGGTGGTCACTCAGAATGACACATAGGCTTCACTCGCAAAATGAAAAAAATGCCGTTACTCGCAAAATGAACCAAAATTAAGATCTCACAATATCACTGAACCATATGTATAAACCAAAAGAGTTTTGGATAGTACAATTTATGAAAGAAGAATCAATTGTCATTTAAATGTGGAACAATAATACGGTGGTCACTCAGAATGACACATAGGCTTCAAGATCTGGCATATGCCGTCACTCACAAAATGAGCCAAATATATATCATGAGCCAAAATGAACCAAAATTAAGATCTCACAATATCACTGAACCATATGTATAAACCATAAGAGTTTTGGATGGTACAATTTATGAAAGAAGAATCACTTGTCATTTAAATGTGGAACAATAATATGGTGGTCACTCAGAAGGACACATAGGCTTCAAGATCTGGCAAACTTGTGCCGTCACTTGCAAAATGAACCAAATTAAGATTTCACAACATCACTGAACCATAATTATGTATAGATGTAAAACAAGAGTTTTTGACTGTAAAAATTTCAAAAGGGAAATCATTTGTCATTTGAAATGTAGTAGAATATTAAATAATAAATTATAGTGATCACTGCTTTGTCAAGTGCTGTCACCTGAAAAGTACAGTAACCCCAAAGATCTAACATATTAACTCAGCTGTACAACAAGCCAAATTTCTGAATTATGGACATGCTAAGGTCACATCACCGACTTATATTGGTGTAAAAGAAATGTTTGCCTGCACAGCTCAAGATCCGGCTACTTAAGATTATTCTATTAATGAAGACGATGCGCAACAAAGAGTACAGTTATTTCTGCAGTAAACAAAAAGGAATCAATCAATGGCATATCTGTGCATGCATCTTAAATTTTAAGATTTATCTTTGAGGTTCTAAGCTTACGCAAAGTTATTAGAAAACCAAAGTAAGTAAACGAACCACGATTTCAAGAAGAACATACCTTTCTGCAATCCAGCTGAGTTGATGACTTGGAAACAGGCTTTATGCGAAGAATATCGCAACTGATCACTGTCTCTCGAAAATAACAAAGGTATAAATCGTAATAGAACAGCTGAATAGAAAGACAGGCTTTCTATTATCCGAAAATAACAAAACTACTCGTTTTGCAACGCTGTATCGCTTGTGAAGTCCGCGTGAATTTGAACTGTTCAACGAAAGTTTATTTTACACTATTCTATTGGTTCAAAAGCCGCACGTGACAATGTAAATCAAATCGCGCATGTGCCAAAGTCACATGGAAGCCTGGGCAACAAACATGGCGGCTGCTCTTGCGACGGAGTGCATTCAGAACTACATTCACCCGGACGATGAAACTCTGCAATCTACTATTGAAATGACTCCTGGGTTCAAACCTTTCACATATTGTGCATTTTGTTCACCCAAATTGTAAATGGTAACGTTTTACGTCAGGGCCTCCTATTCCGAGACTTCTTGTGATATTTTTTTCCGTGCCACCGACACAATATCAGGAAACGCATTCGACGCTAAACGAAAAAAAAGGGGGGATGGCCTTACCCGAAATAACCAGCTGCAGCAAGTAATATTATAAACTTTGAGAAGAATGTGATGGTGATTGAAACGGAAAATACAATGGAAAATCAAAACTTGCGTGAAATAACACTGTGAAGTTTGGTAAATGTGCAAACGTTGGTTAAAGTGGTCGTAAAGATAGTTCTTTGATCATATTTTGCTTAAATTTACGCCTCTAGTAACCATAAATTTACACAGTAACTTTGCTATGCCAGAAAATATCAAGCAAACATTCAGTTTTGACGTTCGATTTTTACACACAGAACAAAATGGTGGCAAACTTGAATCTAAACACCAAATTTACTATGGGGAGCAAAAGTGAAACAAAATATCTGTAAACTTGAAATTTACTCCACATTTACGCCACCCTTGCAGAAAAGTAAACTTTCACTTTCGAACAAAATTTGCACCAAGAACAAATAAGTAGCAACATTAGTACCCTAAATTTACAATAGTTTTGCTCAACTAGCAAACTTAGGCAAATCCATTTTTTCGTCCAGTGATGTCTGTGCAAATATGAGAGATCATAACAATTGCGGGCGATGCCTCACCAAGGTACCAACAATTTTCTTTCCTAAACGAATTAGAAATAAAGTTTCAAATGCGTCTAACTCACCGCAGCTTGAATAAAAACAACTGGTAGGATGACTGCACTTTGTTTTCTTCACTCGATGGCTTACATCATTTCATATCACGCGCAATCTCTTCAAAAGTTAACCGGCAACCGCCGTGAACTTTCGCGCGCAACTTGGAGGAGTTACGTCACAGTAATCCTAGTGTCCAAGTGAGGCCTTTTTCTCACTAGTTCGGTTTTCTTATTCCAAAGAAGATATAGAATTAAATTACATAAAGTTTATGTCTGTTAAAAATGTACAGCATTTTTTTAGTTAACCATTTCCATTATGGGCTAAGTCAAAAAATACATAAATAAATAAATGTGATGAAGGTGACATACAAACACACAAACAATTATTTAAATAACAATAATAATGAGTTATGACGGGGTTTTACAACCATGATACCCCGCCCATAAACATCCCTATCTGATTTTACAAGCAACCAAAAGGATGCCTGTCGCACGAGTGCAATGACCCTCTACAGCCGTGAACAAGCTGACAGGTCTGGCGCACAGCGGGCAGTTTAAGGGAAAGGGCCAGCTGTGGTACCACGGTTTGAAACGTGCGGAAAGAGAGTCAAAAAACAAGATTGATTTCATCCACGGTTAACTGTATTTTTTTCTGCTTTATTAACGCGCGCGTTGTCGGGTTATTTAGTTGAAGTTTTCTCCGGACCAATTTGGCTTTACCCTTTCGGCGCTGACTCTCTTTCCAGGTCTGTTCACTGTGCCCCTGATGAGAATGACAGACCTTCTGAGGGGACTAAAATTTTAAATAACATCAGTCTATGTTCCCGTCTATATTAGTGAGCTCACTAGTACTTAATAACAGTGTAACATAGCTATTTATCTATTTAGTTCTCGTACCATAGCTAAATGAGTATTTACCACTTACTTAATGCTATGCATTCTTATTAAAAAATAACTAACGTATTTGTGGCTATTCTTCCCGCAGCTGCATGTAGTTTACGCTCAATGAACTGATGTGTAGTCATTGAACCACTGGTGTGGTTATTGATCTGTTGTCTACTTATTGAACTGCTGTGTCGTTATTGAACTAACAAAACAGAAAACTGGTTCTTAAGGCTTCGGGCGCCGGTCCGTTACAAGCATTTTCCTCCTACATAGTTACATTCATGTAAAGTCAAATTCCCACAGTTTCTGTGTGAGTGCTGACCGGAGCCAAAATACACATCAATGTAAAGGTTTTGCAAATGAGATTGCAGCGCTCCCCTGATCTTGAAGTGAATGCCAAGATCGTTTCTTTGTTACCTTTTCAACTATTATTGCACATGAATTGTGTTCAAATACTGCAGTAAATTTCCCTCATATTTTCTTTTATTCGCTTTGCCAGGAAATAAAACAACAAATGGAGGAGCAGACAACAGTCTTTGTGCAGATAACATAAAAATCCCAGCAGGACGTTCCAAGGCATATGTCTGTCGTCCCAAAGCATATGGCAGATATTTGTACATCAGAATACCTCGCAGGGAATTTTTGACGGTCTGCGAGGTTCAAGTTCATTCCTATCTTAAATCAGAAAGTAAGAGCGCTTTTCTTTCCTAAAGGTATGCATGATGCTTGTGTGTGTATTGTAGATTTCAGATTGATCTTTGCATTCTTGTATGTGTAATGAGCCGTGAATTCACACGCGAGGCAGTTATGAAATTTCTACCAGCTCCATTTTCCTGAAATTGATGTAAATGTCTTCTAAGAAGCTTAATCGATATCCATTCAAAGATTTCCAATCTGACCAAATACAGAGAAGAGGATATTCACTGCTCATTACGCATGCAGAAATGCCGCTTTGAATTTGGCACCAGTTACGGGAACGACTAACGGATTCATTTTTCAAATAATCAATTCACTGATAGAATCTTGGGGGGTACGCTTGACTTGGTTTGACTGTAAAAATCGTTTTGTATAGTTCACATATAAAAAGTTTCTGTATTTTTTTTAATCAATCTGTTCATTTTGTTTCGTTCAAACGACATAAAGTGACAAGGAATGCACGAGCCTGGCACGGGCACTCTGCAAAAAATCGGAAAAGTAGTTGTCACATGATTCGGAGTTTGACAGACAGACAGACCTCGTGGTATCGATTTGTGAGATAGATGTTAAAGATCTAGTTTTCGGATCGAAGCGTGTGAATCTGTGATCTTCTTTTGGAATGATTAAAGAAGAATTATGGTTGAAAATTTTGGTTTGAGTACAATTATCTACAGAGTCGTTTAGTTATTGTTTGCTTTCAAACAGAGGCTCTTGTTACCGCTAGTCTGTCGTACGAACGATGGAAAGTCAAAAAGAATTACGGCTGTATACTGTGCACGTGCGATATTAATACGGTCGTTTCTAGTATGAGTTGTTTCGTTGATGTTTACTTTTTGAAAGATTTTACATATTTGTATCTCGCCTTCACTTCTCAAAAGCAAGTTTCAAAAGGCCTATGAATAGGAGACCAGAAGCGAAAATTTTCGCTTTTAAAGCGCGAGCTTCGTTTACGCGAAAGCGAACAAGTCTCACCCAATGCACGGAGCCGTGATTTTTAGAATGAAAGGGAAGTGTACACTTTTAGAGAGAGCGCTTTATCGACTCGAAATTTAAAACTCGATCCTCGATCATCAAAACTCGAGACTCGATCCTCTAGACGCGAGACTCGATCCTCGAAAGTTTCGAGAATCGAGAATCGAGTCTCGCGTCTCGAGGATCGAGACGCGAGTAACTGTCAACTTAGTTTTGAGCGGTACTGTGTGAGGAAATTCGCGCCCCTTTCTCCGCTAGTTTCTTGGTGAGTTGCCGACGTGTGCGATCACCAAATGACATAATACAAAAGACTGAAAGGACACTGACAATACCCAAACCACAACAAGATAGCTAACGTTCCGCCGCTGATCAGGAGTGACGTCCTGCTCGCATGTTCCCTCGCTTTTTTGGTTTCGACGGAGTATTAGCTTTGGATTGAATTCATACTACACTCATTCTAAAACGGCGATTGGGTTAAACTGGGAAGCCTCACGTCGCTGTCACGGGACGAAAAATTGGATTTACTGCACTTTTGACAGGACTCAAAAGTTAAGTGAAATATGGTATTGGCTTTGACTTCACCTTTGACGCGCGTCAAAGATGTCGCCAAATATATAAGCTCTTTGCTTACTCCTTTGACCTCGGTAAAGGTGAAGTCAAATTGGTAACAACTTTGACTTCTCCTTTGACGCGCGTCAAAGATGAAGTCAAATGAATCAATGCTTTGCTATTCCTTTAACCCTTATCAAAGTCGTTGTCAAATATGCTGGTAACTTTGACTTTACCTTTGACGCACGTCAAAGATGAAGTCAAAAGTGTAGTCAGCTGTGACCACACCTTTGATACTAGTCAAAAATGAAGTCAAATACGAACGCTACACTTTTACAACACTCTTGAATGGTGCTGAAAAGTGAGAGCAAATATGCAATGAATTACGTCTACAAACACTTATGTCGAAACTGATATTGAGAAAGGAAATTAAAAAGCTGTATTTGAATACTGTTTTAAAGATATTTATACGACAATACCGAACACGAGCGGGTAATCATTGTAATTGCTGTTTTATAATTATTTTTGAAAATGTTCTAGAATATGTACTTTTTCGAAGTGATTTTTTTTTGTCTTATCTTGAGTGGATCATTTTCTCCTTGATCGATCAATATACCATGTAATGACAGCGACGCAAAACAATGACTCAACAATTGGACGATGGAAGACTGAACCCAAGCAAGACACCCTGTTTTTGGCGCGAAATTGTCGCGGCTGCAAACTCTCTCCGCCCGCGAAAACAAACAAACTACGCAGATCTGAAGAAAACAAAAGCTGCTTTTTTTGCGAAGCAGTCCAGCTTTTGTTAACAAATATTTTCACCCTTATCTTTGATAGAGTTTAGACCACAAACTTGTTCAAAAGGTACGTGTCATTCTTTTCTATGTGTTCAAGCAATAGTTTTTCTTCAAACTTCAGAGTTGTTTTACTGTGTTAAGCTTACGGAAACCAACTCCCAACAGGCGTGTATGTCGTGCTTGGGAACTTTTCTGATTGTTAAATCTGGTTCAGTAAACTATAAAAATTTTTCTATATTACAGTAGAGTTTACATTAGATCAAGCCCTTTTTTCTTAATAGTGTTAGTGCATTTCTGCAAAAGTAATAGCTGGCTTACCAACTGTGGTTTTTCTAACAGTTATACTTAACTACGAAAACTACTTCAGGGTAATGAAATAATATAACACTTACATATATTTTTTTTTCATGGACAGTGTACTTCAATAAAAATATCTCTACCAGACTTTGATGGGCATATTACTGAAGAAAGTACATAAGCTTATTTGAACAGGATTCAGTGCAGTTTATAAAACAAAGAAGTGTGGTTATTTCAAGACTTCGGATGTTTTACAGACGTGAGTATCTCTTTCTATTGATTTTTCTGGGTTCTATACGTAATGGGGCTCAGGCTGCATAATTTTTAAAATATTCCATTGATTTTTGTGCCACCACAGTGGCAGCTAGGTATGTTTCAACATTTAATAATAATCATTAAAACATACCGAGCTCTCCCTTCTTTATTGTGACTGGACAATAACTTTAAAAATAGCCTGCGTAGCAAACTTTTCCGCGCGAGTTTTCTGCAAGAGACTAAGTTTGTAGAGGGCAAAAAAAGAGGACGGAGGGGCCGGGAGGGGCTAACTCGCGCAATAACTCTATTGGAAACGCTTGTTATGCAGGCTAGGTATAATGTAAAGTGTTTCTTTAGTTTAATTTTAAGCTTTGGGCACGGAGGGAAATTTTCATTGAATTTTCCTGGACTTAATTAAGTGATAATAAGGCTCGATTCAAACGTCAAATTTCACAAATGACGAACTTAATGACAATGCATGTACACGAAATGTAATATTCCCATTCAGAAGCATTAGTTTCGCTACACATTTTTAACCGGGTCTTTAAGTTTTGATAAAGGTAAAGAGAAAGGGGAATTTCTCCAGGAAAGAAGCGATAGTAAAAAGGGAGTGGGGCCGAAAAATTTATTTGAAACACTACGACTGAATTTTTTATCTCAAATTGCTATATTCTTTTACAATTATTTCACAGATAAAAGAAACAAGGCAAAGTGATAAGTCTCCAGTGGAACGAAACACACAACAGAGGAAGATTGAAGTTAGATACATGGCGTTTGTCTTTCACTTACATCAAGAATCAAAAGCACTCTAGAATGAAAATCTTCGCAAAGATAACATCAAGACAGATGGGCTCCTGATCAAGAACATTTCTTACTTACCATGATTTTTGCACTGGCTTGCGTGAAAGAAGTGTTTTAAACTATTTTGCAGGTTGCCGTCCGTGACAACAGCGTGTATCTGGAACATTTATAGTGCTTCAAAAATTTGCGGCAGTCATTATGATTGTCCACTGACAGACTGCAATGAGTACTTTAGACAATAAATCGTGGAAAGGTTTTAAAAAATCAGAATTATTCAGCTTTCTAAACATCTAATGAGGTTTTAGGACAATAAAGTACAAGATTAAGAACTCAGTCTTTTATCTGTCCATCTTTTTAAACGGTATCCAGGTCGCAATTGAATTTGATTGAAATCTCAAGTTGGATTCTAGCCTGTATATCAAGCGCTTATGACTAGCGAAGCAATAACGCGGCATTCGCGCGAAGCGCGAGGCGAACGCGGAATTCACGCGAAGCGCGAGACGAGCGAGAGGCGCGATGCGAGGGGAGGGAAAAAACCAAACATATTTGGCAACACCTTTATTAAACCTTTGACTTAAATCTCAGACGCATTTGACGACAACTTTGTCACACATTTGACCTGAGGCTCAGACACATTGGACGACACTTTTCACAAGCCTTTGACTTTAATCACAGACATAACTTTACCGCGCTTTTGTCACACCTTTGGCCTGAATTTCAGACATATTTGACGACGCCTTTGATAGGGGTACAAATGCTAATGAAATATACCTTTGACGCGCGTCAAAGGTAGGGGTTAAAGGCGTGACAAAAACGGCCTTTATCGCCTGAAGACTCGCCTTTGACCGCGAGCAAAGGTAAACATTTGTCGCGCGTCAAAGTTGTACAAAGGTGTGCAAAGGTGGCCTTTATCGCCCGTTTGACTTCACCTTTGACGTTCGGTAAATCCGTTTTTTCGTCCCGTGTGTATATAAAAGAACAGCGGTTGATCGGAAGCGAGTATATATTGAGCTTGTAAAGTGAAGTTTATGAATGGATGATTAAGCAGTCAGGAGCCAAGATGGACGTTAAATTTTAAGCCCACACTTCGTACCTCAATGAGTCGTTTTTCCACAGTTCTTTTATTGATAATTTTCACTGAAATTATGCCAAAAGAGACAATGTCTTCACTAAAGTAACAAAATCAAGATATAAAGGATAAGATCGACGCTCTTTCGAAGGAAATAGCACAGCTGAAAGAGTAGCAAAAGGTTGATGTTGACTGGGTCATTACCTCTGGTGCTGAAGTAACCGCTGCCTCTGGAAATAGCAATCATAATTCTTCGAATGATGAAACCATGTCTCGTAGTCTTTAATATCTGATCGAGCAACGAATTCGACGACCTGTCGGCCTCTTATTATGATGCCGTCAATCATCTCAAGGCATTAAGCCTTAATGAGGTCAACCCTGAAGTTACACGTGTTGGCAACCCCATTGACGAGGTTCAGGAATCGAGCTACCAACTCAATAATTGGCCGGCCCGCCAGAGAAAAGCAGTGAAACCGCATCTGAAACAAGCGCCCTGTGCGTAAAATTATTCCAGGAGTTGGGGGCAAAAGTGTCTCTGTCGGACATTGACATTGCTCATCGCGTCCACTCGAGGCAGCAAAACGGCGCCTCGAAACTCATCATCTGCAAATTCGTGAGATGACTCGCAAAAGCAAGTGTCATGGAAACTCGACAAAGTGCCTCTCAAGTCAACCAATCAAACATCGGTCTGTCTGCTGATAGTGTTCTTGATAGAGTCAGAATCTTCGATCACCTTTAATACCTCCTAAAAACAAATCCTGTTGTTTGAAGCGAAGAGATGTAACGGACAGAACCAATACCGCTTCTCCTGGGCCAAGAATTCCACTATTTATTTACGAAAGAATAAGCGTTCCCTACAAGATAACGGACATTGGTAGTCTACGTCGATTTGCTTCGGAGACCTGACATTATGAATTTAAAGGCTTGTGATTTAGACCCTATAAAGTCTTGATTTAGACCCCATTCCTGTTTTTATCATGAATTGTCAGTTCAGTGATAACAAAGATTATCAACCTTTCAATGGACTCTGGAATACTTCCTACTGATCTCAAAGTGGCTAGTGTCAAACCACTGCTCAAGAAGCAATCTTTGAGCTCGGATGAATTCAAGAATTTTCGGCCAATTTCGAAGTAGGGTTTTGTGCCTGAAGTAGTCGAGAAATGTGTTGCCAAGCGGCTCATTGATTATTTAGATGCCAATGGTGTCGATGTCTTATATCAATCACCGTACAGGAAACTTCACAGCACTGAGACTGCTTTAATCCGTGTCCATAATGACATCGCAATTGCCTCAGATCAGAAAAGATAAGTGATTTTGCTGCTCCTTGATCTTTCCGCGGCATTTGATACTGTGGATCACTGTATCTTACTTTCACGCCTTTCTCGTCGATTTGGAATTGGTGCTAGGGCATTGGAATAGTTTCGATTGTATTTGGGTGATCGCACTCAGTTTGTAAATATCAATGGATCTACCTCCAAGCGACGTGTTCTGAAGTTTGATGTACTCCAAGGGTGGTTCTTGGACCTCTTTTATTCTCATTGTACACCTCTCCACTGAGTGATATCGCCTGTAAGCATGAACTATAAGTTTTCACTTTTATGCGGATGACAGGCAGCTTTATGTAACATTCGAGACGTCATCCCTTAATGATATGGAATTGAGCAAGTGTAGACTGGAAGCCTGTGCACTAGAAATTGACCCCTGTATACTTCTGAATAAGCTAAAATTAAATAAAGACAAAACTGAACTTCTTGTGATATCATCTGTACACCGTGCTCGACCTCCTTTGTCAGATATTCATGTTTGTGATGAGAGAGTGCTAGCTTCATCAAGAGCGGGAAACATTGGAGTTCTCTTCGACGAATCTTTGAATATGGTTCCTCAGGTGACAGCAATGTGCAAATTCGCATTCTATCGTCTCCGTAAAATTAGGCTCATTCGTAAACATCTCACCTTTGATGCAGCCCAGCTTCTTGTTCAAGCTCTTGTTACATCAAAGCTTGACTACTGTAATTCGTTACTATATGGTTTACCTGAGGAAGTGATTAAACAGCTCTAACGTGTGCAGAACGCAGCTGCTCGTGTTGTTACTCTTTCGCCCAAGTTCTTTCATATTAAACCTGTTCTTGCGAATCTTCACTGGCTCTCAATTTATCTGCGGATTGAATTTAAAATACTTATCGTTACCTGCAAGCCTCTCCATGGACTTGCTCCTCCTTATATTAAAGATCTTCTTCAAAGTTACCTGCCGGCACGGGATCTTAGGTCTTCAAAGAAAAATCTACTTGTCGTGCCTGCTTTTAACATAAACAGTTATGGCCGTCGAGCTTTTTCTGTTGCTGTGCCGCTTCTTTGGAACAGTCTTCTTCAGCAAATTAGGGATGCTGGAAGAACACTTTGAACACGTTGAACACTGTTCTTTTTAAATTGATTACGCGACTGTGGTGTTTTTATATCAGGTCTTAAATTATTTTGTCTTTAGTTTTTGTAGTTTTTAATTTTTAAATTTTAAATTTTAACTGTGATTCTAGTTTTAAATTTTAACTTTTGCGCCTTTGGGCCCTGGGGAAAGGGCGCCTTATAAGTGTCTCATTATTATTATTATTATTATTATTATTATTAGCTATTATCTACAAAAAAGCAAGAGAGCTACGCCACAACAATTTAATGGGTCAGGGCGAAAGCGTCCTTTGCAATTTTGCGGAGCGCGCTCCCAAGCGTAAGGGGATCGAGAACCCCGAGAAGGAGGAACTTAGATGTTAAGGACAGGGATCTAGAAATAGAGAAGGTTCAAGCAGGACTTCCCTAGACTCAACAGCTATAGATACTTTATTATTGGGATGTACATAGAAATTTTCATTTTTTAGTTTGTAGACAGTTGTTTACATTTGCTCTGTTGAAAACCACCGGACCACCAAGAAGTCTTTTTTTAAGTATAGTTGTACTCAATTTGTATTTAATTTTCAATTTGAGAAGAGTTTAATAAAGTATGTTTTTTAATTAGTATTAATAATAATATTATTATTATTATTATTATTATTATTATCAGTTAGATAAGTATCTACCATAATAAGTTCTATTGATTTGTGCTTGTGGCGATGCTCTATCTTTATTCCGTGAGCTTCCTTATTTTGGTTTTGGATTATAGTCAATATAATAATTGTTTTCCCCCATTTGCGGCTAAAAAGTACCTAGAAAAACTCTCTAGCATTTATGACCTTAATCTTTTCAGGCTAAA